TTTTTCTTTCTATAAATAATTTACTCAATTGCAAAGCTCCTATGAACCTACTAGAAAATTGTTACTACTACAAGAATACCCCAGCAAAGTCCTCTCCCCCCTTGAACATTATAGTCCTATCCTCTTCTGGGATTATCTACTTTCTGTGCTGACCCAGCTTCTCCACCCATCACCTTACCGCCATAAATAAATAGAGAAAAACTATAGCGTGTTGTAGAGGAGTGCCCATTCACTCACCATTCTGAGATGCAGGTGCAGGAATCATTGATTCCATCTCTCACAAATCCCTGGGTTCCTGGACATGCCCAGGAAACATTAATTTTCTCAGCTTCCCTCCCCCAGCAGCTCAGAGAAGCCACACCTGTTGAGACAGAGATAGCTGCAAGTTGCAGTTTCCCCCATTTGATCATTTGACCGATGACCTATAATTAGAGATGAGCGAATCGAACTCGGCGAAGTGGAATTCGTTTCGAATATTAGGAAAATTCGCGCCGAATCCGAAAATTAGCAGACTTCGGATGCGCGAATCGAAATTTTTCCAAAAATGGCGGCGACATGTGCGGCGACGGAGCGGGGATCTCTGGGAAGGCGCGCAGACAAGGCGCGCTGACCCATAATTCATGACATGTGATCGCATTAGCCAATCAGCAGCCAGCCAGCCAGCACTGTGTAATGGTGGAGCTATAAATTGCGGCCATCTTACAATTCTCCATTTGCCTCTGTTCATTCAAGAGAGACAGACCTCTCTGTATTAGGGACACAGAATCGTTACTTAGAGACACAGAACCGTTACTTAGGGACACAGAACCGTTACTTAGGGACACAGAACCGTTACTTAGGGACACAGAACCGTTACTTAGGGACACACAATCGTTACTTAGGGACACAGAACCGTTACTTAGGGACACAGAACCGTTACTTAGGGACACAGAACCATTACTTATGGACACAGAATTGTTACTGAGGGACACAGAATTGTTACTGAGGAACACAGAATTGTTACTGAGGGACACAGAATTGTTACTCACGGACAGACACAGAATTGTTACTCAGGGACAGACACAGAATTGTTACTCAGGGACAGACACAGAATTGTTACTCAGGGACAGCCACAGAATTGTTACTGAGGGACACAGAATTGTTACTGAGGGACACAGAATTGTTACTGAGGGACACAGAATTGTTACTCAGGGACAGACACAGAATTGTTACTCAGGGACAGACACAGAATTGTTACTCAGGGACAGACACAGAATTGTTACTGAGGGACAGACACAGAATTGATACTGAGGGACACAGAATTGTTACTGAGGGACACAGAATTGTTACTGAGGGACACAGAATTGTTACTCAGGGACAGACACAGAATTGTTACTCAGGGACAGACACAGAATTGTTACTCAGGGACAGACACAGAATTGTTACTCAGGGACAGACACAGAATTGTTACTGAGGGACACAGAATTGTTACTGAGGGACACAGAATTGTTACTGAGGGACACAGAATTGTTACTCAGGGACAGACACAGAATTGTTACTCAGGGACAGACACAGAATTGTTACTCAGGGACAGACACAGAATTGTTACTGAGGGACACAGAATTGTTACTGAGGGACACAGAATTGTTACTCAGGGACACAGAATTGTTTACTGAGGGACACAGAATTGTTACTGAGGGACACAGAATTGTTACTCAGGGACACAGAATTGTTACTCAGGGACAGACACAGAATTGTTACTGAGGGACACAGAATTGTTACTCAGGGACACAGAATCGTTGAATTAAAGAGTATGTCAGACAACACGCAGAGGAGTGGCAGAGGAGGCAATGTTTTAGGAGAGAGCAGACGTGGCAGCAGAGGAAGGGTCAAGGCAGCACTAGTCGCAGCCAGAGGCCAGTGCTCCTGGTGTCATCCAGCGGTCGTGTCTCCACCGACAACCCTGCCGTCATCGATTGGTTGGCTCGGTCGTCTTCCTCTTCCCAGGTCACCTCTGACACCTACAGCCAACGGTCGGTGGGTACATCAGACACAACCGTTAGTTGTCATGGCCCGGGAGCAAGCCCACTGAAATCACGTGTCCTCTACCTGCCCCTGTCCTTTGGTGTTCCCTCACCAAGCGAAGTATCGCATGCTGTGGGCTCAGCCCCACTGTACAGTGAGGAAGAGCTAACAGAGGGCGGTCAGGAACGGGGGGAGACATCCGCCTCTTCAGCAGCCAGGCGAAGAAGTACTGGCGAGGAGAGTGGCTCGGTAGCCGGTCTAGAGACAGGTCTGTCTCCTGACCCACAAGCAGCCGAGGGGGCTAGTAGTGAGGCGGAGACCCTAATTGATGATGATGAGGCTGATCGCACTTGGCAGCCTCATCGTCATCAGGCTATTGCTTCCGCATCATCAGGAGAAGAGGGTGCCAGCTTGGCAGCGAGCAAAAACAGTCGGTGGGTTGCCCAGGAGGCAGCAGGGTCGCAGCAGTGTCAGTGGAGGCAAACGGCCACGGAGTACAGCACCAGCTCCACTGCAGCCTACCACCACGGCCAGTAGTGGTGCCGGTGTGCACGGAGGAAGTAGCAGTCAGCCAGTGAGGAGTAGCGGGGGCAAAGTTTCCTACTCGGCGGTGTGGCAATTTTTTGTCAAGCCACCCGAGGAAGTAAACGTAGCCGTATGTTGATTATGTGGCCAGAAAGTCAAGCGTGTGCCAGGGGGCCCATGTTGGGACTACAGCGTTGCGTCAGCATATGCAGCGTCGCCATTTGGTGGCCTGGGAAAACTGTGATAAAGATACGGTGGTTCTGCCTGCCTCCTCATGCTGCTGCCAGGTCCAGAGTGCGTCATGGGTCCCTGTACGGCCTCCCATTGCTGCTGTCTCCATCGCCACACTCTGCCATGAGCCACTTTCAGGTCTCCTCACACTGCTGGTGTGTTCCATTTTGTCATAGGGTGCTGACAGATTACGGGCCTCCCATTGCTGCTCTGCCAGGCCCGTAATCTGCCATGGGCCCCCGTACCGCCTCCTCATGCTGCTGCCAGGTCCAGAGTCTCTCATGGGTCCCTGTACGGCCTCCCATTGCTGCTGTCTCCATCGCCACACTCTGCCATGTGCCACTTTCAGGTCTCCTCACACTGCTGGTGTTTTCCATTTTGTCATAGGGTGCTGGCAGATTACGGGCCTCCTATTGCTGCTGCCAGGCCCGTAATCTGCCATGGGCCCCCGTACCGCCTCCTCATGCTGCTGCCAGGTCCAGAGTGTCTCATGGGTCCCTGTACGGCCTCCCATTGCTGCTGTCTCCATCGCCACACTCTGCCATGTGCCACTTTCAGGTCTCCTCACACTGCTGGTGTGTTCCATTTTGTCATAGGGTGCTGGCAGATTACGGGCCTCCCATTGCTGCTGCCAGGCCCGTAAATCTGCCATGGGCCCCCTTACCGACTCCTCATGCTGTGACGTTGCAACAAGGTGGAATTCAACCCTACATATGTTAGACCGCCTTTACGAACAGCGAAAGGCCATCACCGATTTCCTGATGTTACAAGCGGATAAAGGTACTCCCTGTGTAACTTAGATGTCAGCCATTGGCAGCTCACGCGTGACACCTGCCGCTTGCTCAGACCCTTTGACTAGGCCACGCTATTCGTGAGTCGGTCCAGGACTATGGGATGAACGACGTCATTCCTCTGTTGCACGTCCTGGAACAAATGCTGTTAACAATAGCTGGTCAGGGTGTGGTAGACGTGGCGCACAGATCTCAACGCCACATGACCCCTGTGGGGGCAGGACAGGAAGAAGAGGAGGAGGTAGAGGAGGACATTGGTGCTCAGGAATTATTGAGTGAAATGGGTGGTTTTTTCCACTCAGCGGACAGGAGTGGAGGAGCAGGAGCATCTGTAGAGGAGGAGGAGGAGACAGAGGACCCAGACGCACCGTGGCAGTATGCTGTGGAGATGGAGGCAGGGAGTCCCTCGCATTCCTTGGCACAAATGGCCCATAGCATGCTCGGTTTTTTGCTTGCGTAGCGACAGCCGAATAATAACCATCAGACAGAGGGATGACTTTTGGCTGTCCACCTTGTTTGGACCCTCGCTACCGTTCAAAAAATGGTGGCCTTTTTCACACCTGCTGAGAGGGAGGCCAAAATAACGTACTATAAAAACCACCTATGTAGTCAGTTGGTCTCTGCCTTTCTGCGCCAACGTCCATCCTCAGACACTGTGGGCCCTGTGCGCTCGCGTTCCGCTGCCATGGCAGCAGGGGAGGGGTGGTAGGAGCAGTGGCAGCTCCACCAGCAGCAGCTGCCTCAGTCTGCAGTCGATGATGAGTAGCTTTCTTCACCAGCGCAGTGAGGAAACTACTAACCAGCCGCAGCAGCAGCAGCATCAGGTGGACCTGGAGCAGGACCTCAAACAACAGGCTTGGGCCTACTTGGACAGCACCCTGCCAACCGAGGTAGACAATCCCCTTGACTACTGGGCAACGAAACTTGACCTTTGGCCCCAACTAGCTGAATTTGCCCTTGAAAGGCTGTCATGCCCGGCCAGTAGCGTGGCATCGGAGCGCGTGTTTAGTGCGGCAGGAGGTATTGTAACTCCGCGGAGGACACGACTGTCCACCCAAAGTGTGGAGAGACTCACGTTTGTGAAAATGAATCAGGCGTGGATTAGTCTGGATTTCAAACCACCAGTTCCTGACACAACTGACTAAATCCGCCATGAATCATGCCCCAAACATGTTATTATTTTTAACATAGGCCTCTGTATGGCCTTCAATTTAAGCTGCTTACGCTTCACCACTCTGCCATGGGCCCCTGTACCGCCTCCTCTTGCTGCTGCCAGGTCCAGAGTGTGTCATAGGTCCCTGTACGGCCTCCCATTGCTGCTGACTTCATCGCCAGACTCTGCCATGTGCCACTTTCAGGTCTCCTTACACTGTTGGTGGGTTCCATTTTGTCATAGGGTGCTGGCAGATTACGGGCCTCCCATTGCTGCTGTCAGGCCCGTAATCTGCCATGGGCCCCTGTACCGCCTCCTCATGCTGCTGCCAGGTCCAGAGTGTGTCATGGGTCCCTGTACGGCCTCCCATTGCTGCTGTCTCCATCGCCACACTCTGCCATGTGCCACTTTCAGGTCTCCTCACACTGCTGGTGGGTTCCATTTTGTCATAGGGTGCTGGCAGATTACGGGCCTCCCATTGCTGCTGCCAGGCCCGTAATCTGCCATGGGCCCCCGTACCGCCTCCTCATGCTGCTGCCAGGTCCAGAGTGTCTCATGGGTCCCTGTACGGCCTCCCATTGCTGCTGTCTCCATCGCCACACTCTGCCATGTGCCACTTTCAGGTCTCCTCACACTGCTGGTGGGTTCCATTTTGTCATAGGGTGCTGGCAGATTACGGGCCTCCCATTGCTGCTGCCAGGCCCGTAATCTGCCATGGGCCCCCGTACCGCCTCCTCATGCTGCTGCCAGGTCCAGAGTGTCTCATGGGTCCCTGTACAGCCTCCCATTGCTGCTGTCTCCATCGCCACACTCTGCCATGTGCCACTTTCAGGTCTCCTCACACTGCTGGTGGGTTCCATTTTGTCATAGGGTGCTGGCAGATTACGGGCCTCCCATTGCTGCTGCCAGGCCCGTAATCTGCCATGGGCCCCCGTACCGCCTCCTCATGCTGCTGCCAGGTCCAGAGTGTCTCATGGGTCCCTGTACGGCCTCCCATTGCTGCTGTCTCCATCGCCACACTCTGCCATGTGCCACTTTCAGGTCTCCTCACACTGCTGGTGGGTTCCATTTTGTCATAGGGTGCTGGCAGATTACGGGCCTCCCATTGCTGCTGCCAGGCCCGTAATCTGCCATGGGCCCCCGTACCGCCTCCTCATGCTGCTGCCAGGTCCAGAGTGTCTCATGGGTCCCTGTACGGCCTCCCATTGCTGCTGTCTCCATCGCCACACTCTGCCATGTGCCACTTTCAGGTCTCCTCACACTGCTGGTGGGTTCCATTTTGTCATAGGGTGCTGGCAGATTACGGGCCTCCTATTGCTGCTGCCAGGCCCGTAATCTGCCATGGGCCCCCGTAACCGCCTCCTCATGCTGCTGCCAGGTCCAGAGTGTGTCATGGGTCCCTGTACGGCCTCCCATTGCTGCTGTCTCCATCGCCACACTCTGCCATGTGCCACTTTCAGGTCTCCTCACACTGCTGGTGTGTTCCATTTTGTCATAGGGTGCTGGCAGATTACGGGCCTCCCATTGCTGCTGCCAGGCCCGTAATCTGCCATGGGCCCCCGTACCGCCTCCTCATGCTGCTGCCAGGTCCAGAGTCTCTCATGGGTCCCTGTACGGCCTCCCATTGCTGCTGTCTCCATCGCCACACACTCTGCCATGTGCCACTTTCAGGTCTCCTCACACTGCTGGTGTGTTCCATTTTGTCATAGGGTGCTGGCAGATTACGGGCCTCCCATTGCTGCTGCCAGGCCCGTAATCTGCCATGGGCCCCCGTACCGCCTCCTCATGCTGCTGCCAGGTCCAGAGTCTCTCATGGGTCCCTGTACGGCCTCCCATTGCTGCTGTCTCCATCGCCACACTCTGCCATGTGCCACTTTCAGGTCTCCTCACACTGCTGGTGGGTTCCATTTTGTCATAGGGTGCTGTATGGCCTCCCATTGCTGCTGCCTCCACCGCCACACTGTGGCTCCACAATCTGGTTTTGGCCCCGTGACTGCCCAAATGAGTGAAGTGTGCGGTGATTCTAAGATCGACGGCACTCATCTGCATGTCATACTGACTGACAGTATTATTTCTCTTCCCCAGCAGACTCCAAGGGCATTTAAATTAAAGGTACAGTGTTCTGCACTAATATAAAGGCTCTCTGAAGCCTTGAAACACCCTTTTATAAGTTAAATTCTAAGCGAATATATTCGCCTCGAATCGAATTTATTCCTCGAATTCGCCGAAACAGCCGAATCGAATTTTTGAATACTTCGCTCATCTCTACCTATAATGTTAAAGTATCACTTCAGTGCCAGTTTATAATCTGCTGGGGCTAATGACATGACACCCAAGATTATGCCACCCAGCAGCAGTCTCTTGCTTTTTGTCTGTCTACACAATAGAGGGTTTTCCAGGTAACATGAACATATAGAGCAATCTTTTGGCAAGATCTTTGTTAAAATTAATGATCTGGTAACACAGTCTATTTAACAACTTGACCTCCGAAAGATATTATCCCCTTCATGACCAGGGCATTTTTTGCTATTCAGCACTGTGCTATTTTAACTGGCAATTGTTAGGGCATGCAACACTGTACCCAAAATCAATTTTTGTAACACAAATAGAGCTTTCTTTTGGAGGTATTTACTCATCACTGGTTTTTTTTTTGCTATACAGATGAAAAAATATCAAAATTAAAAAACAAAACAAAACTACTTTCTGTTTTAAAATTTTGCAAATAAATATTTCTTCACAATTTTAGGCCAAAATGTGTTTCACTACATTTCTTTGGTAAAAATAACTCAAATTTGTGTCTAATATTTTGTGTGAACGTTATAGAGCTATGGTATATACAATACTGTATATTTAAAAATTGATCAATCTAATGTACTAACAGCCTCATTTCTTGAGGCCATTAAATTGCCAAGACAGTACAAATACCCCAAAAATAACCCCTTTGTGGAAAGTAAACAGTCTGAGGTATTTACAAAGAGGCATGGCGAGTTCTTTGAAGTTGTAATTTTTTTGTCACTTTTTTTGGAAAATGAAAAAATTAAACAAAATTAGTTTTTTTTCACAATTTCAACATTTTTTTTTTTACATACTGTCACTAGTGCACTACAACATCATCATATGACTGGTGTGGCAATGACCAGGGATACTAACTGGTGACAGTATGTAACAAAAAAAAAAACATTTTTATTCAATTTTTTTTAAAAAATTCCTATTTTTTTTTTACTTTTTCTTTTTTTTTTACATACTGTCATCAGAGTAGTACTACTCTGGGGAAGTGAAAAATGATTTTTTTATACTGTTATTGCTGATAACAGTGATGATCACTGTTATCAGTAATAGATAACTGTCACGAATGGCTTTCCATTTATGACAGCTTGCTTTATGTTGACATGCTGCGATCAGCTAGCACTAATTACATGGTACAGGGTGCTAGGTACCATGTGATAGATGTGGGCCAATCACAGGTTCACCACAGTAAGCAAGCAGTCATGAATCAAAATCATTCATGACTGTTTTGTTTACATTGTAATCATGTGATTCCTATGATTGGTGCTGAGCGCCATGATCTGCTGTGTCCACCCGATACTGCAGTCATGGGATCACGCTGCTGTGTGCCCCAGGGGACGCATAGTGCACAAGTGCCAGGCGAGGTACCAGTAAGTCGCTGAGCCTGGCTGTGCCACCTGCCTGCAGTAAAAGTAATGTGGGAGGGCGGCAAATGGTTAAGCCTACTAAAACCCACTACAACCATGTTTGGTGTAAATTTACCACTATTTTCAGTAATCCCTGTAATGCTGCATGTTTGAAATCAGAGCTATACCTCATTGTTTCCAGTATAAATGAAAAATTTGAGGACATGGTGTCGTCTAACATTGGAATTCACATTAAATGCGCATTTTTGTGCTTTTCCATGGTTATTTTGGGATTTGGCACCAAAGTCAGTGTATATATGTATGTATTTGTATATATATATATATATATATATATATATATATATATTATTAACCTTAGAACCAAAGTACAAAGCTTCAAAACATGTCTATTCTTGTATTAATTGGATTATAAAAAGACAAAAATATTCCATGCAATTCCAAAGATCAGAGGCTCCAAAGACAATTATAGCCCCCTTGTGTGGTGTTTTATTTTTGTTTGTTACAGCTGATGGATTTAAGGCGGAAAGTTTTTCTTCTCTTTCCCATTTAATGAGGGAGCCGTCTTTTATCAAGATGCCCCTAATAACAGTTTTATGTGCTTCCCATACTATTACTAGATCTGTTGTGTGGTTTTTTTTTTTTTTTAAGCAGCACAAAGCATAAATGCATGAATGTAATGTGTAAATGCTGTTGCCCAAAGTATTGTATCTGAACAAAATGAAATTCTCATGACATTAAATAGAAATCAGCTATGACAGTTCACTGTGCCCACAACTGTTTTGCACAAGCTTTATAACTGAGACGGACAAATAAAAGACAAAAGAAGTTTTAAAAAAGGAATGCATAACTGAAATAACCCCTTTTTTGGGGGAGGTATGAGAAATGGCCCTCCCTAAACAGGATATTGTGCTAATCCTATGAGAAATTAACCAGAAAACTTTTCAAAGTAATTATAGCAGATGAACTACTGCAGCCAGCAATACAAGGTTTATATATGAAACGTTAAAAATATTATATACATCCAATGTGCAAACAGTTATTATCAGCAAAGGGCCTAATGAGATTCCTTGTGGAATTGTGTACATATACACGGGTACAGCACACCCTGGCAGAAATTGTGAAATTTTGGCATTGGTATTGAAAATACGACTGATCATGCCGAAAAACTGTCTTTTATTTAGGGATATTGATCATAGGAAGCCATTTATCATCACATAGTTGTTTGGCTCCTTTTTAACTCATAATGATAACAGAAATCACCCAAAGAGCCCTGATCAAAAGTTTACATACCCTGGAATGTTTGGTCTTGGTACAAGGATCAAATGGCAATTCAAGGTTAATTTCCCACATCTGTAGCTTTTTAAATTGCAATCAGTGTCTGTGTATACATAGTCAATGAGTTTGTTAGCTCTCATGTGGATGCACTGAGCAGGATAGATACTGAGCCATGGGGAGCAGAATAGAACTGCCAAAAGACTTGGATAACAAGGTAATGGAACCTTATAAAGATGGAAAATGATATAAAAAGATATCCAAAGCCTTGAATGTCAGTCAGTACTGTTCAATAACTTTTTAAGAAGTAGAAAATTTGGGGATCTTTTACACCAAACCAAGATCAGGTAGACCTAGAAAGATTGCAGCCACAACTGACAGAAGATTTGTTCAGAATACAAAGATAAAACCCAGAGGTAACCTCAAGAGAAATACAGGCTGGTCTGGAAAAAAGACAGTGTGGTTATTTTTAAGGAGCACAATATGACAATACTTGAACAAAAATGAGCTGCATGGTCAAGTTGCCAGAAAGAAGCCTTTACCGCGCCAATGCTTTACTGCGCCAACAGTTGAATGTTTATTGAGGTCACTTCTGTTAGGGCCATAAAACAGAACTCACATCGGAGACATGTTGTATAATACCTACTTAGTGTAAGTTCACACTAGTGCATTTTTCACTGCATTTTTCTAACACGTTTTTGCGGTTTTTAACACACGGCTTTGATATTTTTTCATGCTTCATAAATTTTTTTTTTGTAGGAGGAGACTGGTTGTTAAACTCAAAACAAGCCAAAGATGTACAGTATGTACATGCTTTTTTCAAGTACTCCTATTGAAGTCTATGGTGCCAAGAATGCACTATGCTGCATCAAAAGAAACATCCGCACCTTTTCAAAAATTGCACTGCCCCATGTTGCATTGATTTGAATGGGCCTCATAGAGAATAATGTGATTTCCAATGTAGTGCATCACAATGTGATGGTGGGGCAGGAGAAATCACACCAGTGTAAACAGTACCTTAAAGTGGTAATAAACCCAAAACAAAAATGTATTATAGTGCAGCTTACCAATCATTAGTGTATGTATTAGTGAGACACAACACACGAGGAGGGAGATAGGAGGCACAGCAGACAGCACCATTGTCAGTTTGGGGGGGAAGGTAGTGTAAAATGCATTAGCACATTTAGATACATTAACAAATTAAAGCCAAACTCCAGCTCATGCTTTATAATCAGTTACAGAAAACAGTTTTTTTTTCCTTTTGGGATAAAGGTTTTACATGAATAAATAAAAGCTGATCATTTTAATCACCCCTGCCAGTGTTAAGTGGTTTGTCTCAACCATGTAAACAGATACCTTCTGCTGCAAAGCTGACTTGTTGGCTGGTACACCAGATGAAAATAGAAGTAAGCCTAAAAAAGAAAATGAATGCAGTCATCACATCTAAGAATTGGTAAGCTGCAATATAATAAATGTTTGCTTTTGAGCTTAATACTGCATTAAACATTGCTGAAGGAAATATTGTTTATTATCTCTTGAAAAAACAACTAGAATCACCCTTTTTACTTTTTATTATTTTTTTTATTATTATTATTATTATTATATTTTTTTTTCTTTTTATATTGCAATGGAAACCTGACTGATAACGTTTTTGCACAATAGATGAGAACTGTGATAGTTTCATGCACTTTTATGCACCAATCTGTGTTATTTTTTGTTTCAGGACCATGGTTAGTGAACAAGGATATACAGATAACAAAAAATATAACACTGTAGTAGATGAACTAAAGACACTGTAACAAGACTTATTTTATGGAAACACAAAACACAGAAGAGATAGAAATTCATGAAAGACGTGTGATTTTATAACTATGGACAAGTATTAAACAGATTCTTTTGTTGTTAGTGTTTATGATGTTTTATGATATTGCCAAATAGACCCACATTTTTGAAGAACACATCCTATTTAGTGTGATAAATACACCAATTATCAAGTTAATGAGAATAAATCAAAGAGTGCGCTAAATATAAGTAAATACAAAAATTATTAGTTTAAAATAATGATGTCCGTGATAGAAAAAAATGTAATATAAAAGTCCATCCACCATAACAAAGTAATTAAACAGTTCTGAAATCTTGTATAAATCAAACACCGTGCAAAAAAATCCACCACCGAATGAAATGGGTACACTCACCAGAGCTCCATGCTGA